AGAGAGAGAGAGAGAGAGAGAGAGAGAGAGAGAGAAAGAGAGAGAGAGAGAAAGGGGGGAGGGGGTGGAATGGCAAGCATGGGGAGGGAGAAGGACCTAGATCAGACGGTATTCTAAAATACTCCGGATAATGTCAAAGCAAAAACGCAACTTACAGACATACATACTCCGATTCTAAAAGAAAAAGAACAAAAACGAACAGCAAACATAAAATCCAACAAACACGTTATACATCAATTTATCAAAGATGTAAATAAACATTCAAACGAGTGGGTGGAAACATTTCCTAGCCCTCTGCTCTTCGCATATATCGCACATCCACAACAAACAAGGTGATCCCTGGCACCCTTGTCACGGTGGATTGGTGAATCAAGAAGCCGAATTTACAATGTATAATATTCTAAATAAAGTTTGTTGTATAGCTGTGCATATTTCAGAAATGATATTAACCAAAACACAGAAGATGAGATTTTATCGAGGATCGAATCTGGAACCTCAGGAATACAACTATACTACTCTACTCTACACACCCCTCCCCCTAACCTCCGTATGTAACTGCGGGTGTGCACAATGGGAGGTCCGGCTTCCTTTCTTTCCCTCTACTGTTTTCGTTTGTCGGTCATGATTTTTCCCTGTACTGAAGGACTCACCTTTATTGTTTCGGTGTTCTTCTGTTTCCTCTAACATGCAAATAAACAAATCAAAATTAGCAACAATATTATTTTCCAATACTGGTACCCAACAATGACGTTTGGCCATGATCATAGTATAATGTTCAATGAATGAAATATTATTTAACGTCCTCACTGCCAGAAGGCCATGATGGGCATTACAAGATCCTCATGCTCGGGACTGATGTATTCCTGGAAGTGGTTGTATCTGGGGAGAACAACGAAGGTGGGCATATAGGCTCCGATGTGTTTCTGCAACTGTGTATGTGGGGTGGGGGATGGCGAGGAGAGAGAACGGAGACGGTGTGTACGCTAAAGATGACTGTTAAAGTATTTATTAACAAATTAATATTCAACTAATTAATGATCAGATACAAACTGACTTATTTAAAAACTAGTTACTGACATAACATTTTGACAATAATTTTTCAAATTGACAAACTAACTCCAACCGAATACCGAACAAGGTCACTAACTGACATATTACTCAGATAATTGAATAACAAATTTCATGATTTAACTATCAATTAATCAGACATCTGACTAACTAAATATTTCTTTATAATAATAACCAACTGACTTGCCAACCACATGATCATACAAGCTACGCAACTGGGCGATCCAGTTGGTAAGATTGTAATTAATTGAGTAAAATATATACCACAAAACCCCCCCAAAAACATTTGTAACAATAACATCGCTTACATTGGTCTCCACAGTAACAAAAACAAAATAGAAACATCTGATTACCAAATTCAACAACAGCACCAACAAAAATTGTTAACGCTAGCAATATACTAAACTATGTGGTTATCAAAAACGATATTAGCAACAATAAAAGCAACAACAACAGGCTTAACAGCAACATCGACGACAACAAAAACAACAGTAAGAACCGTGATCGTAGCAACAAAAGTTGTAGGAAATCGGACAGAAACAAAAAAACGAGGATTAATGAGCCATATACGAGCCGTATAGTATAGCCATTACGAGCGTACACGAGGAGAACTGAAAGAAAAAGAAAATTAGAGGCTCTCTCGTCGAGCCATGCACAAGTCACAGGTGGTTTCTTACACCAGGTCATGATGGAACTTGGCTCTTGGAATGAGCGGCTTCCGAACTCTTGGACACTTTGGGGGACAGTCGTACCTAGATAGACAGATCCAGACGTGGGGTTTGGATTTTGGAAAAACAAAAGCACATCCGCTCAGCAAATCAGACAGACTCAACTGACAGAAAGAAAACATGTAAGACCTTATACTGGTGTCCTCCAACCACCTGCAAGTTGTGGCAATGATATCTATATAACGATAAATTTGAATCATGGAACCCACATTTGACATTAAACAATCTGTCTCACCGTCTAAAATATTTTATTGTATTTTTACGTCTATGGAGTTTGATTCTGTGGGTCTTACAGCATAAGCAGCTCGGTCACATTATAATACAGTATTAATTAGCATGTTTAAGTTTTCTGCTTATATAACTCGATATCACTCATAAAAACGTGCTTGATGAGATGCAACACCCCAATCGGGAAAAACTAGAACAATAAATGTGTCAATGGGGCTGCGTTTCAATCGGAAATCACAATAGAAGAACCCATTTTATCAATTATTTCGGGAAGATAGTTTGCAAACGTAAGCGTAAAGATTTGTTTTCGTACTTGATACTCATGCGTATGACCAAAGATACTATTCCGCAAGATGGTTCGCTCTGCTTAAAAATGTCCTTGTAGTCTGCGCTCATGACTAGATGACACCAATGCAGATGATTTTGGAGCCTTGATTCATTGCACGAGACGAAATGTAGCACATTTAGTAGTTTAAAATTTTTTAACATTTTAGTTCGTTGAGCTGAATTTTTATCCACTGTAGCCTCTCATCCCTTATTAGACCTTGAAAACAATCGCACATTGACTGCATGCACTACTAAGAGTTCAGAAGCGTCAATAAACTCACGAAGCTCAGTTTAGAACAGACTTGACCTCTAAAAGATGCAAAGTCTGGAAACCTTCTGACTAGCTACCTTTGAATGGGACTCTCACTCCAAGCCGTCTGTCACCCTTGTGACTCGACCTACATGAAAGAGCTGTGAGTAGTGGCGTCGATATCTGACGATGTTGGTCTACAGTGCTACACTTTGCCCCTAGGAATTTCGAACTAACCTTCTATCTGACATTTTTGACCGTTTTGAGGTAATAAGTCCATGACGTCAGTAACCAAATATTTTATCTGCTCCTTCAAAATTGTACGATTATTCGAAGCCATTATCAAGATTTCTGTGAATCCTTGAGGTCAAATTACTCAAAACTAGGTACAGTACAGATAGAACTTTGTAAATCTGAGGAATTGACTTGTGCTATATTCACCTTGAGTGGTTCACTGGATAAGGGAACAAAAGAATTAAGTCTGTATTAAATGAACGAATTCGGTATTGTACTGTCATACATTTAGCTCTGTGGTTAGTTTATTGGATAATTAGTTATTTAGATAATTAGTTAAAAAGCCAGTTTTTAGCATTGTTAGTTGTCAGATCAGTTCACATCAGGAAAACAATTAAAAAAGCACTTCAGTTTAACAATCCACGCAAAATTATTTCGAATTTAAGTACCAAATTTAAATATCAGTGAAAATGTTAGAGTTTCAGTTGGTGATTCTCACTCTAAGATCAAACACATTGTGATCATATGAATTTCTATTCCTTTTAGCAGTAAGGTGAAGCTAATCCCACACTTACTTTTTAAAAACAAAGTTCAAGATTTTTTTAATGAACGTAAAGAGGGCTGGTAAATGGAGGGAAACGTGGGTAACAGGGGAGAAAGTGGGTAACAGGAAGGAACATAAAAGACTGTTATCAGGTTTTAACAACAAAACTCATCAAGAATGAAACACGTATATTAGTGATATCATCTAAAGAAATAACCGAAGAATGGATGGGAATGTTGAAAGCTTGTAACATATTCTGTCGAAACGTTATTTACTAGGTGTAGTTACCAATGTAAAAGAACGAAGGCATCAAACAATAAGTGGGCGTCGAAACGAAATATATCGAGAGGATGTTTTGGACGCGTAATGAGAATAGGGCCACAACTGCCAGCCTCAAATGTCTACAAGATGCGATTCGATGGCTTGGGAGCAAAAGGAAGACTAATAAAAAGATGGATCGATGGAGTGAAAGACATCCTTCAAAGGCACACTATGTCGATCCGAAAAGCAACACACCTGGTCCATGTCCGAGAACTGAATCTCTCTTCGACACCACGCAATATAAGAGATCATATAAATTAAGAGTAAAGTGTAGTGTAGACAGCAGATTTTGCAAAGCCCAAACGTGTGTGCTTTGTATTTCCTCCTCCATTTTACTGAAACAATTTTGGGGGGCTCTCGTGGCCTAGAGGTTACGGTGTTGGCCTCTCATTCAAAGGTCCCGGGTTCGAATCCGGGTAGCGAGCGAAAAGTTTTCTTATCTAAAATTGTCTCCTTTCACCTCCTGTCCTGCTCTCTAGCAATGTTCTGTCGTCTGCTTTCGTCTCCTCTTTCTGCCCTCACCCCCTCACCTCCTTTGCCCCCCTCCTCTGGGCTCCTGACTCTTTCTGCAGCCTTTCCACTGCTACTCCTTGACTCCTTCTTACTGCTGTCTTTCTGCCACACCCCTGATCTTCTGGAAGGAAAGATCTACACCTAGCCTTCTCGGACAAGGGGGAAAAATCTCGGAGGGCCCGTGTGCAAGTTGCGCACGTTAAAGATCCCATGGTGGTCTAAAATCAATAAGAGTAGGCTTCGGCCGCCACTCGGGCAAAATTCAAAATTTCCTACCAACTAAAAAGTATTAGGTGTGTCCCGCGCGCTCACATCACCTTATGCAGTTGCGAGCGCCGTAAAACACTTACCAAAACCCCCCCAAAAAACCTCAATTTTGAGCGACGTTAGCATATTGTACTCTTGCTTCGTTGGCTTGAAGGTTGCTCCATGTCTTTCCTTAAACTGATGGTCAATATTAGAATCGCATAACTTGTACTGTCGAAACGTTTTCTGGAATAAAGCAAACAATGGCATCAGCCTCCCAGTTTCTGTTCTCTTCCTACTGATTCTTATTTTCTTCTGTTCACCTTTATTTTCTTTCATTACTACCCATTTCTGCCACGTTGCAGTGAGTCTCATGTCTTCAGAGTATGCTATGATTGGATCCTTTTACTTTGCTTCATCCTTCCTCTTGCATCATTAGTCTTAGATGTTGGGGAGAGGGGGGGGGCTACAACTTTCAATTAAGGGCAGTGTTGGTGGCTTCTGTTGTTGAAATGTTATTCTTTCGGAGGACCTCTATCCTCTATCCTCTATAACGCTATCCAGCCAAGTTTTGCGTGGTCTGCACCTGCCCTTGTTTCCGGACATATTAGAGTTGAAAGCTTGTGAAGCTGGGTGATTTGGTGACACTCTCATCAGATGACCAAACCACTTCATCCTTTGATGTTCTTGTTCCAAAACCGGTTTATTCCCTATCAAATTTCTTTTACCAGTCTTTCGTCTTCCTGTTTTGTATCGTAAGTCAGTGTTGGAAAGAATATGCCTTGAGTAAGTCGTTGTCTTTTTTACTTCCATTGGTAGGTGTTTATGGGTGAGTAGTGCTGACGATTTTTAAGTTTCTGCATTTGCTTTTGGGTCCTGATTTCAATTTTCCTATGTCCAATCTTCCGTCATGTGTAAGTATGCCCCCAAGCTATTTAAATTCCTCAACTGGTTTAAGTTGTGTCCCGTCGATGGCGATGTTTAGTAGTGGGACTGGGTTTCTAAGATCACACGATCCGTGCATGCATGTTTTGGCCAAACTTGAGCAGGAATAACCTTAGATGACATGATGCATAAACAATGCGCCAGCTATCAACCCTGAGTTACCACAAATCTTGCACGCACAAGTGTTTTGATCTGATTATTAAATAGCTTCCGCTGCCAAAAGCTTGCTAAACAAATGTTTGAACTGCTCTGGTACTGTCTGTACAGATGTTCTACTATGTCATTCAACAAAGTTTTTGGGTTTTAAAAAATCTCTTTCAAAGTAACAATATTTTTAAACAGTTCAAAATTCTCGAGTTGTCTGGCCAAAGGAAGAAAACCCTAAATGTGCACTTTATCCATCTGCAGAGCTGAAAGCACTTTTTTCTTCCGTTTCCTTTTGTTCTTTATGTTGAGAGTTCTACAAAATTAAAAATTGCTCTGGATTTTGTACTTTCTTAATATTTCTCCAGAAGCCAACATTCGAATATTTTTGTTTTCTTTTATCAGTCTTTCAATTAATCCAGAAGAGCAAAAGGAAATTTCAGTATTCTTTTCACTGCCTTCTTGCTCTCTGATATTTACTGATAAGGTTTTCATTTTCAACTTTAATTTTCTTTTTCTCATTGCAAACCTACACTTTAGTCTAGAAAACCACACTTGAGGACGGGGCATCTGCTGTTTTGTAATCGGCACAGTTTGAATTCCTCTTCAGATTTGCGTCTTTCTTCGTTTTTCTCCTTTCCACACATGCTGCCAAATTGTCTCTTGGAATCATACAAACGACAGGTTTCCTTTCCCTTTTTTATTTGTGTTTGATGCAGTACTGCTTTTCATAGTGCATGTCGTGCAGTGTCTTCACTGGGTTCTTGTTTCACCTCTCTCTGTCTCTCCTTTATTACTTTTTTTCAGCAGGAGTCAGCTTTGTCTTTGGGGGAAAAAAGCAAATATTAATTTTTTAAAGTCCCGTTTGAGAAATCAACTATATATAGGGCCTGCCCTTCATACAATCAATTTAGATCTACCATAAGTGGCATTGTGCTGAAGTCAACTAAGCTGAGCTGATTTCATGTGTGACAAAATTTCTGCTAGGAAGATTCTTATTTTTTGACTTCAGTCTACATCTACGTCTCTGCGACAACGCGAAATGCACTTCTAAATTTGCAACTAAATAAACGATCTAGATCTAGACCTACATTTTAAGAACTCCTTGGTTAAAATAGTTAAATGGTACAGGATTAGTTTAGAGGTGGGACCTCCGAGTTTAACGGTTAACGTCCTGTCCAAAAGGACGGAGCCAAATGGGAAATTCGTGGGTTAAATGTCTTTCTCAAGGACACAACGTTGTACCGAGCTGAGGCTCGAACCCCTAAACCCGCAATATCACAATTACTTAGAACTCTTCGATACCATTTATCAAAATAGAAGGTTCTAGACTTTGGTGGAACAAAAGTAGGTAGCATTATTATTGTCATCGATGTAGGAAACACGGAAAGTTTTGTCTTTCATTTTACTCTGTAGTTCCCTCGCTATTGCTCTCAATTCCATCCTGTTACCTAAATTACAGAATCACGATACAGGAGTTTGTTGAAAAAGTACAGACACATCTTTCATATTATATTAACTATTCTGTTTTGTTTGTGCATAAATGACCCATTTTCAACCCGAACTTTGGGCAGTTTAGCTGTGTCCCCGTGGTTCTATGCACCCCGCATAATTTAGCAAAATTTGATTAATTTTTGCATAATTTCTGATTATTTACCTTTATCATTCTTTGTTAAAATTAACAGAATCGCTTAATTTCACATTTTTGGGCTCATTTTGGCATAATTTCAAAATTTTTCGTGCATAAAACGACGGGGACAGGTTTAGCTACCCGTCCTACTTGCTATCTTGTATTCTCTCCTGTAACTCTCAATTCCGTCCTGTTACTCAAAGATAAAAATTACAATTCAGGTATTCTGTTGAAAAACACAAATATGCCTTTAGTTTTAACCTCTTTCATTTACTCTATTAAGTATAGACTACCTCACATTCTAACCCAAACTGTGGTCAGT